TGCTGATGTCAGCAAACATACTGGTGCAAAACATTGCCAGTAATGAAGCCTTTAAGTCCTGACGCTTCCAATTCAAAATATCCAGAAGCAATTATATTGCTATTTCCAGAGACCAAGACAAGTGGGTCTTTGGAGCTGGGTTTTTTTTTTTGGTTGGTTGGTTTTTAACCCATTCCTCAGGGATCTCTCACTCTCAACATCAATACCATAGCAACCAAATTTATCTGTAGCAGAGATGACTGTGATCTCAGCTCCTGTAATTCCTGCCTCTTGTGGACTTATTTCACCTTGTTGCTGGTTTTCCCAGGAAGAACCTGGGAACTAACAATGCACAACTACAATTACCACTTTCACAACTGCGGATAAATCCAACCCATAAAGAGTCTCCCACGCAGGTATTCAACAATGAACAGAAAAGAGAGGCTTTCTAGGTGGACATCTAACTGCCAGGAGGCTTTAATAAGAGCTGGCATGTATCTCAGACTTTCTGGATGAAAGTTTCCTTCCCATCTTTCAGCACAAGGTTGTTCTGGGTATTGGCCTCCCACTTCACAGCCAAATGTGACCCAGTTGTGCCATATATCCTGAACTGAGCTGCATGTAAAGTACCCACAAACCTCAAATAATATCCACCTTGAAAAGAACAGGAGTAAGAGTAGACTTGACATGTAGCAGAAACGAAACTCCTGGTGCTTCTTCATTACCCATCAGCCAATTTTACATGTAGCATCACTCACCTTGCTTTAGGCAGTGCCAGTCGGGGACAGAGCCACAGACCTACTAGGCCTCTCTCCTTTAGCTGTTCACTGCTCCTCCTCCTTCTGCCTAACCCCAGTGAAGCTAATATTCCCTGAAGGCAACAGCTTTCTCCTCCCAAGAAGAGTTGTGAATATCCTGCAAGAAGTCCCAGGAAGCCCCTGCAGAAACTCAGCCAGGAGCCAGCTACTCCACCCACAAGGAGCCACGTGCATGGTCCTCCTTGGACTCCTCGTACACAGAAGGCATGGTTTTTTTTGCATACCTTAATTTTCAAGAAGGGGAAATTTTGTATCCTCTTCTGGATTTATAAAGCAACTAGATCAGTGCTTCCAAATACCAAATCCATATTGTTGTCATGTGGTGAAGGAGAAGGTTTAGTAGGTTTCTTTTTGTGGTTTTTGTTCCTGTGGTTTTTACACCGAGTGGAACAAATAAGCGGTGCAACAAAACATGCTTGAAATAGAAACCCTTATTATCTCTATGGGAAAAAGTTAAATATCATATCTCTCAAACGTAAATGAAAGTCATCGTACCAGTGTAAGTATGACCTTTATCAGTGCTTGCAATCTTTTGATGCAGTGTAGTAAGCCAAAGGGGATGATTCTACTTTATCTGCTTCTTCCCCCATTATAGAGGTTTTTTTTGCTGTCAAAGTTAACTGTTTTATGAGCCAGCTTAACACCTGTAGGTCTGCATCACTCACAGGCTTTAGAAAAATTCTTCACAGTCAGACTGCTTGCCCCATTTCTTTTCTGGGCTGCAGCTGGTTGGCAGCACTTCTGGCAGTTTTATGCTCAATGCAAGAGAGTATCATGCAGAAGGGGAGAGTTGCCAGGGAAAACCCAGTCCTGCAGCATGCCCTTATTTAACCTTGTGTTGCCTAAACCAGCCACTCTTTTTTTTTTAGCCCAATGGTCTGCAGGTGGAAAATATGACATAAAGTCAAGTCAGCCTCCCACTAATGTTGATGCTGTCATGGGATCCTGGGCACTGCTGGTAAAAGTTCTCCTCTGCTTTCTCGTCTTCTCAAAGTGGATCCTTTTCAGTAGAACTGCTGCCAGGGGTGCATCTCCCAAGGACTCCAGCTTGTACAGCTGGGCACAGCAGCCCCTTACTGCTGATCTCCCACACACCAGCAGGCAGCCGTTAGGCCAACCTGCAGTGGGCTCCCAGCCCCAACAGGCAGCCCTGGCTCAGCACCCCTTTTCCTCCTCCAGTGAGAGGAGTCCTTCCGGCCCTGGGGCCTCAAGTCAAGTAGCTGCAGCCCTGTGATCCTCCCATGCTTCCTGTTTTCCTCACTGTACCTTTTTGTGCCGCTGCAGCAACATCCATCCGACCAGCTCTTTAGTCACACTGTAAAGATAAAAGCCATTTATCCATTTTTAAACCACTGTGAAGTAGAGGTAAAACCATCACAAAAGTAGCTACAAAAATAGTAAGAGACATATCCGCTTTGCAGAGACACGCTAAGAGGGTGCAGAGTAAGCACCAAGAAGAGTCCAGTCTCGTGGAGCTGCTGGAAGGCCAGGGGCTAGCATCAAAATGCGGATGGGAGATCCAAACGATGCTTGCAGTGCTGCCTCACCAGTTTTCTTCACCTCTTTTCCTCCTCGGCTCCTTGCTTGGAGAACCAACAGCTGTATACCTCAGAGCCCTCCTATGCAGCAGAAAGTTCCTGGGCCATTTGCAAAGTCATTCGAACTCTGGGCAGCACACTGTCCATGCATAGTTTATCATCAGGGATAGTTTTTTCACTGCTGTGATGATAAATACCCTCAAGCTAATAGGATTCAAAAATGCATTCAAAGGGACACACTGGAGGCACTTTTGAACTATGCAGGCTTCCAAAAAGCCACTTGGAACAGGATGATTTTCCTGAATAAGCCACTTGGAACAGGATGATTTTCATCTCATGTAAAAGAATGCAAGTTGTGGACACTGACTGCAGTTTACATGGGAGTCACTGCAAGTGAAAAACAGAAAAAAGAAAATATTTTTCAAAGTCCAGATTCAATATTTTGGAGTTCATCACTTTTACTCAGCTAAGCATGTGTGGACTTATAAAAGCTAGCTTTAATACATTTAATGAGGCACCAGGAATAGCAATCTGATTATGCCCATAAGGGACCTTGGCTGAATGCACAGTTGGACAGTTATCCTGAAAATCAATTTTCCACTAAAAAAACATTTTCAGTTGGAAATTTTTAGACTATAAGTCTTTTTTTTTTCTTTTTGAGGTCCTAAAAATATGTACTTCACTCAAACTTGATTCTTTCTCTCCACACAGTGCAGTTCTGAGATGTCTAGTGAAAGGACCTTTGGTGTCTTTCCTATAAAATGGACAGATTGTATTG